GGGGGGGGTCCGGGGTGGGGCATAAAACCCCATTTTTGGGGTTTAGCCCATGTGGTGCGCGCTTTCGCTGCGCACCCCCCACTATTTTTTTTATTATTATTATTATTATTATTATTTTATTTTTTTTTTTTTTTGCGGGCGGGTCTGGAGCCGGGGTTGGGGGTGCCCACCCCCGGAACCCCGGAACCCCGCCGGGGCCCCGGGGCCGGGGCTCGACAACCCTGACTATGGGCCAATGTCTATCTCGCACTGCCATGTTGGTGAATTTGTGTCACACAGTAGTGAACCCTGCTTCCAACAATCTCTCTCTCTCTCTCTCTCTGTCTCTCTCTCTCTCTCTCTTTATCTTCAGTCATTGTGGTCGTTGCATGTCAGCAGTACTGAAAGACTCAACGATTGACATTTACGAAAGAGCATATCATATCGTGCAGCAGGCGAAAATGACTGGAAGAAACGGCGAAAACCGACGACATGAGCCAAAAATAACGATTTTTTTCCCATACACAGAACGTAACGTTCTACGAAAGATGAACACGTTTTCAACACGTTTTCAACACGTTTCAACAAATTTTCAACACGTTTCAACAAGTTTTCAACACATTTCAACAAGTTTTCAACATGTTTCAACACGTTCTCAACACGTTCCAACAAGTTATCCCCAAGTCTTCAACAAGTTTTCAACAAGTTRTCAACAAATGGTCAACAGATGGACCAACATTCTTTCAACAAATGGACCAACAGATGGACACACCAGTTTCAGTGAGCCCAATGTTTGGTCAGCTTTGGTTTCCTTCACTTCAGGTGGAATACATGACCCCCCCTCGCCAAACAATTTATAAAGAAAGTTTCAACGGTTGAAATGTGGTGTCCACACGTGATCATCCTGCTAGAAAATTTGTCACAATTTTTCTGTTGAATACGTTTTCTGAAAACGGCCCAAACGATTCATGTTCTTVCAAAATCATACGTTGACATATTTTGGCCCACATTACACATGACGCACTGTGTATCCTTGCAAGACAAGCAACAATGTGGACAAAAAATTGATGGTGAGTAATGTGAGTTGCGAAACGCAAATGCTACTTGATGGTCGAAACACATCCACGACAGGTCTTGTACAAAACCAGTTTTTAAATAACACATATTTGCTTATTGTACACTCAGCCCAAAGGGTTCTTCAGAGTCTTCTTTTTTTCAAATAATAACTCTCTCTCTCTCTTTCTCATTTTACACTTTGGTCCTCATTGACTGTGTGTCATGCCACTAGCTATCAGTGGAGGTGCAGCTCATGTCCCCTCCAACACCATCGCCCACCTCCCTCCCCACCCTGGCCTTGTTCCACCCCCAACCCCCCTCGATCTTCTTTCGGACCTCTTCTTCTCCTTTTCACGACCTTGCGCACAAACTTTCTTCGTCTCTCTTTCTGCCCGCACATTTGTCCACGGTGTGCGCAATGAACTCAAGGTCAAAATCATCATCTGTTGTAGTCATGTTATTGACGTCTCCCCTCTGCACAGCAGGCAACCCAACTTTGTACAATGCGACTGCCTTGTCTGCAACAAAAACAGCACGGTCGAGCTTGAAGATAGAAAAGCTTACGACCGTGTCTCGGGAGCGGACCGATGCAGCGATCTCTTTCTTGATAGCTGCACGTTTCTGTATTTAGTCCGCTGCTACTCGTCTTTGCCGTGTGGTCGACTTCACTTTTCGGTACCAGCTCCACAAATGCTAGTTGCTGCAACGTTACGTCAAGGTTGATGACATCTCTTCTCATTTGAAAAACTTTTGTCAATGTTGTCTTGAAAGGAGGAGCACCCCACGGATCATTGTCGCTCCGTCTCCATGTTGTGTTCCCCTTCATCTCTGCCCGCATCATGTTGCGAGTCGGAAGCTGGTGATCCGCTTGAGCTGACCGTAGCAGCGGCAGACCTTTTTCGGCCCAAAACCAATGCTGCAATTGCCATGATATCTTGCCTCGGACCGTTGTCATAATCCAATTGCATTCCCCGATTACAGCTCGGATTTTGTTCCCTGCCACGGGCAACCGTAGTCCTTCCTCTGCATCTTCTCCTATCAATTTGGCAGTTGTTTGAAGTACCGTGTAAAAAATGTCCTCCGATGGGTACAACGTTGCATCCTTTGCTGCTAAAAAAGCAAAAGCCTTCGCCACTGAACGAAACAGTCTGTCTTTCATTTTCTTTGTAAGACCCCAGGTTTGTTGCTCTGTTGTTTCGCCAGCATTACCTCCACCTGTGCTGCTTCGCCTTTGCAAATTAGTGCAATCTGGGAAAAAAATAAAAGAAGACCAACAGATTAATGATTTA